ATGCAATGCTGCACCCAAAACGAAATTTACGTCCCTTTTTTTCACACAAATAGAGCTTTCTTTCGGTGGTATTTGATCATCTGTGCGCTTTTTATTTTTCACGCTATAAACAAAAAAAAGGCCAAAAATTTTTGAAGAAAAACAATATTTTTTACTTTCGGCTATAAAAAATATATAGTAAACTCAAAGTTGGTTATAAATTTAGGCCAAAATGTATTCTGCTCCATGTTTTTGGTAAAAAAAATCCCAATAAGTGTATATTGATTGCTTTGTGTGGAAGTTATAGCGTCTACAAACTATGGTATAGATACTGCAATTTACGCCATTTTTCTGCTATACAGCGCTGCGCTAGTTTAACGGACAATTGCGCGGTCATGCAATATGGTACATAAATGAAATTTACATCCTTTTTTTCCCCACACAAATTGAGCTTTCTTTTGGTGGTATTTGATCGCCTGTGCGGTTTTTTATTTTTTGCGCTATAAAAAAAAAAGGCTGACAATTTTGAAAAAAAAAAAAACACAATATTTTGGACTTTTTGCTATAAAACATGTCCAGTAAAAAAAAAATGCAAAAATCAAATTTAGTCATAAATTTCTGCCAAAATGCATTCTGCGACATGTCTTTGCTAAAAAAAAACCCCAATACGTGTAAATTAATTGGTTTACGTGAAAGTTATAGCGTTTACAAATGGCGGGAAAGATAATGGGATTTTTAGGGGTTTTTTTATACTAACAATGGCGGCGATCAGTGACTTATGGCAGCGACCAGCGACTTATGGCGGGACTGCGGCGGACATTCTGACATTGGGGGGTACTGACCTGGGGTCACTGACATCCCCAAAAACACTAATACAGTGATCAGTGCAAAAAAGAAAAACACTGACACTGTACTAATGGCACTGGGGAGGAAGGGGTTAACTTTATTTTGCAGGAAGGGTTATAGGAGTGAGGGGAGTGTTTTACTAGGGGGCGGGGGTGTGTGCTGGGACGGGACAAGGCTGATTGAGAAAGAGAAACTCTTCTGTCTCGATCAGCTCGTCCTCGAGCTGACAGGGAAGTGACAGACAGCACAGCTACTGCAGCTGCAGCTGTGCTGTCTGTCACTGTTTACAGCCGCTAAGGACCATCTGTGACCCGGTGACTGACATCCGCGGCGGTGATCGTCGGGACAGATAGGGCGGCGGCGCGCCTTGCGCGCACCCCCTGTTTACAAAACACACGTTTTAAAACGTGGTTTTGCCTGCCAGTGCCGCCCCTGCCGCCGTATTTCTACAGTGGCAGGGCAGCAAGTGGTTAATGTTTTTTGAATAACAGTTCACCAGTATGTAGACAAGTGTTTCTCAACCTTTTTTTTCAGTCACGACACCCTTTAAAATTATGGACAGTCCCGAGGCACCCCATTCTAAAAATGTAAAAAACTATTCTAATAGTTTTTTAGAACGTAGCAAAATCCACACATGTAGGAGACCCAACGTTTAAGGTGATTTATTCTTCCAAAGCAAATACACCTTTGCACACTGGTACTGACAAAGTATTCCAGCCAGGGGCGGACTGACCATTTGGAAACTCGGGCACTGCATGAGGTCAGTAGGGGGCCCCATGAGATGCCCCTGGTACCTTTTTCATAGGCTTTTTTGAGTTTGGGCAAGGACACAGGGGCCCCATGATCCCCTATTGCCCGGGGTGCCCCATGCATTGTCAGTCCGCCCCTGATTCCAGCGTTTCTTTTTCTCCCTCAGTATTTCTCTATCACTCAGCTAATGAAACCCTGCTGATGGAAAGAGGCAGAGGAGGGGCAAACAAGGATGCTGTGCAGGCAACCAACATCCTCCTTAACAACTGATGAGATTATTGGTTGATAGGACACTAGCGGGGTAGAAGGTCGTAATGGTGCCCTCTGGCTTTGTGTAACTTAAAGGCAGGATTGTTCTACCCACTGGCTTGACATGTTTTGGGCAATTTTTAGACATTTTGCCAAAGCACCGCTAAAGAAACCAGCACCCTGGTTGAAAAAGGCTGCTGTAGACTGATTCATCAAACAGACTTGTTTGGCGACAGCAAGAGTAGACCTTTTTTGCCCAAAATGAAAACAGCATGTTAAGGACCGACTGGCAGTAGCCTCTAGCGACCCACAGGCCGTAATCCCTCAGGGCGCGGAGTCTAAGCCCCAGTCTGCTGTTTCACCAGAGCCCCTGATGGTGGGGATGGACTTGAAGCAGCCTGAGACCAGGTCACAACCCCCGAGTTCAACCAGCTGTGGTAGAGGTGGATTTGCCAATGGTAGGTAACAAGTGAGAGCCAGATGTGAAGAGGTAGTGTGTAACGTAGTCAGACAGGCCAGGTCGGTAACAGCGGAGGCAGACGGTACAGATTGGCAGACAAAAGGATAAACAGGTCACAGGCCAGGTTCAGCAACAGGAGGTCAGGTAAATAGGAGAAAGCAGAAGAATGGTCAGACAAGCCAGAGATCAGGGCAGGAGAGAGTCCCGATAATCCGGGTCGGGCAGGTTTGGCAACAAAGGCAATCTCATGTACTAGGAACAGGAACACAGGAATAAGACCATACGGCAATGTGAGCATTGCAAGAGCTGGTTTTAAATAGCCTGCCCGGCGCCGATAGGCGCACCTGGGTGCTAGTGCCTGCCGATGCCATCATTGGTGACAGGCGCGCCTGGGCCCTAGTGCCTGCCGGTGCCATCATTGGTGACAGACGCGCCTGGGTCCTAGTGCCCGCCTGCCTCTCTTGTCGGGATCCTACGCATGTGCAGATTCGTGCGTCGTGGCGATCTTCTCGTTTCCGGACACAGCATTTCAATGTGATATAGACTATAAAATCTCTGCACAAGCAGCTGCTGGTGCACTGTGCCAATCCCACTGCATTGGGCCATTTACTTTTTCTTTTCAAAGGAACTTTATTAAAATGTTACATTTCAATAGCGTTCTATTCACCGTGACGTTGTTGCGATGCAGTAGTTCATGGTTCAACTTACTGCAGTAAAACAAGTACTGTACGCAGCACTTTTTCTTCTTTTTTTTTTTAGCACAAACAACTGCGTAGCTGGGCCTGAACTGTCAACAGGAGGCTTTGCTTTGTTTATGCATTGGGGCTGCACTGAACATATCTGCTAGCGCAGCCCCACCACACCCTAGGGCCCCATTCACATCTGGCATTTTGAGATCTCGGGCAAAAAAAAAAAACTGAGATTCTGCCTTCGATCTCAAATCACACTGCATTAGTGGCAAAAACACACTACGCATGTTCGGGTGCCATTTATGGCATCTAAACGTGTGGTGGTTCTGCTGCGATTGCCGCGGGATAAATCACATGGCAATCCGCATCACAAAAAGCTTGTTGTCCAAAAAGAAGCAGGAGCCTCTTTTGGGCGACAAGCTTCATGCAATGTAGTTTGCTGTGATTTTTGTGCGGCAATCGCAGCAGAATCACACCATGTTTAGGTGCCAAAGTGAATGTCACCCGAACACACGTGGTGTGGTTTGCCACTATTGCAGTGAGATTTGAGATTGCAGGCAGAAACGCAGCAATGCTGCCTTAGATCCCAAAACGCTGGATGTGAATGGAACCTAAAGTATGGTTTTGAGTTTTCTTAGCTGCTTTAGGCTTCATGTACACGAGCAGCTGCTAAACTCGAGTTTAGAAGCTTTTGGCATTTTTTTTCAAAGCTCCTAAACTCAACTCCATAAAAGTCTGTGTCCATATACACATAGGCTTTTAGCAGAGTTTAGGAGCTGCCGCGTTTAGATGAGGTAAAACCTCCCTCTCCTGAACACGAAAGAATCGCATTCTGGATTAGAACGTTTTGACCGCAGGAAAACACAAAATGCGGCAAAATCGCGGCACCACAGTTTTGCCACGATCTGCGTTTTCCCGCAGCCGGCGGTCAGGGTGGGCTCATGTACATGGAGCCTTAGGGTCTGGCTAGCTTGCAGAGTCAACTATGATGAATTTTGCATAATATCAGCATGTGCTTGATAAGTAATTGAAGCTACCCATCTAATAGTTTAAAATGAACTGGAAATTTATTTTAACACCATACTGATCAGAAACAAACAAATCCAACAAGGAATGTCCCAAAAAGAGGAAACATAGTTAGGAACTAGCCGATTCAAAGCCCTAATGTAAATTCCATTACAACATTGTGGTAGGATTTCAAAACTGCAAAGAAAAATACAAGGAAATTTCCAAACACCTTGCAACTGAAGGACTCTGGCATAGAAGAGGAATCAAACATCAAAGAGTTAATGTCAGTGACTGGTGGTCCATTATGAAAAAAAGCATTTTCTGCTAAACAAGACGTACCAGCTTTTGAGGCCACGAGTGGTACGTGGCCACTATTACATCTGTTGATATTTTTGTTAATTAAATGTCTTTTTAAATAAATGTATGGGGTTTTTATTTAAAGTAATGAAAAAAAACAAAAACCCTTGAGCCTTTACAACCAGCCTGGGTTCAAACTGATATGATGCAGCACATCGCATGTGGTTTGTACAGGAACTGCACCGCATTCCTGTGCAAATCACATGCGATTTCTGTGCAGTGCAATTTGAGCCATACATTTTGTATGGCTCAGATTGCACCGCATTCGCACCTAAATAGAGCAGGATCTTTATCTATAGTGTGGGAACTCGCTTCAAATGGTAGAGTTTTTGTAATGCACACAGCAACTCGCTTGCTTTTTTTTTTTAAGGGCCGTTTCAGCCCACTTTTATTTTAAATGACAGTTCTATAACACAAGAGGTTTCCGACGCAGGGGTATCTATCATCAATATAAATGAAAAGATTCAGCCTCCTGGCTCTCTCAGATATAACCAATCTTCCTCTGGTCTTTCTCCTCAGGCTTACGTCTGTCTCCTGCAGACTCCTTCAAAAATGGCTCTCGCACACAGCTAGCCACTAGCACACAGATACTCCCGAGCAGCCCCTTGCTGCTTTTGGCTTCCACCTCTCCTAGGTGAAGCCCACCTGACTTCAAGACAGTGACCTCCTGCCTGCCGGGGTGGAGCCCTCCTGACTCCTGTCTGCCCGGGTGGAGCCCTCCTGACTCCCTCCTGACTCCTGTCTGCCCGGGTGGAGCCCTCCCTGACTCCTGCCCTCCTGACTCTGCCCGGGTGAGCCCTCCTGAGCTCAGAACCATAGGTTAGGCCTCTACAAAAAGCCCTGCACCCACCTGTACAATCAGTGCCCTGGCCATTACCAAAACCTGGTCCCAGGATTGAAGATTTCATCCCTCCCAGATCTCTTTGAAATCTCCAGGCTCCAGATCCCAAAACAGACTTAATGAATAAATGAGGAAACTGAAAAGCCAGTTTCCTCTGCAATACATCAACCCTCTGGAGCCCCTCAACCTGCCTGGTTGAGAATCCAGGGTTATCAGCTTGATTTTGACCGTGGCAGGACACCGCGCCACCACAATAGGTACTTTTTGAATTAAGATCAAATTTTTGTCAGTTAAATAGTCAAAAATTGTTATGGGATGTATTTACTTTTTCATGACTTTACATTTATTATATTATTATACAGGATTTATATAGCGCCAACAGTTTGCTCAGCGCTTTACAATATAACAGGAGACAATACAGCAACAATACAGTTCAATACAAGAGGGAAAGGAGGGCCCTGATCCTGTGAGCTAACAATCTAGTTATCTACAATCTGTTATACCCATACTTAAACATGCCACTGTATTACAAAATTATAGTAAACGTAAGTGCTGACTGTACTAAATCTTGGCTACACTTGCAAACAAACCAGTTGTACTTGCTTAGACTGAAGCAGCTAAACAAGTACAACTACTCTATCTTCTATTGTTCCATCCAAAGACTACTGCTTTTAATATATGTAGAAATTCTTGACAACCACTTCAAGCCAGCTTCTATTTGCTAATGCAACTGAAACAATAGAGGCAGCCTACCAGCAAATGTCAACTAATATCATATTGTTAATACCGAAAAAATTTATGGAGGGGTTGAGCTGCTGTTGCAAGTATGAAATTCAGGAACCTTAAGGCATCTGCGCATACCTGCAGCAACCTCCCAAGCCTGACAGGTGAAGCTTTGACACTTCTGGGTAGTGCCGGACCTTTACACCAAGCCCCATCACGACACATTCCTATCATTCATCACTACGACAGGGAGCCTTGCTGGCCAATAGGAATGTACAGTAGTAAGAGATACACATCATGCTATCAGGAAATGCTAAAACTGCCTGCAAGAACAGACTATAAATGCTGCTGCAGGGGAGTGTAGGCAACTGCACTTTATAGATGCAGCAATTTTTTTCTATTTTGTGGACTGTGGCCAGTAGGAGTAAAAAAATGTTTTGTTAAAATTAATAGTTCCTCATCATTTATGCAAGTGAGATTTAGGAAACACTGCCGCCAGTATTAGTGATCAGTGGTCGCATCCAATGCTGCTTCTCTACATGCTGGATGACATCAGGGGCCCGATTACGCAGGCACTACTGGGAAGGAGATCACTCTTCTCGATAGTGCCAACTACAGTACTTTGCACTCTGCATACAGCGTGCAACCAAAAGGCACCACATTGCAGTGGCTTGTAAAAAGCAAACCATAGGTTAGAATTTAACCCTTTAATGACAAAAGCGAACACAAACCTTGAAGTGATACGAAAGTCTTTCTTTTTTTAGAAATTAACAAACAAGTCATGCTCACCTGCTCTGGCAGTAGTTTTGCACAGAGCAGCTCGGATCCTCCTCCTCTCAGGTCCCACTCCAGTGCTCCTGGCCCCACTCTTCTGCTGGGTGACCCCATAACAAGAAGCTATGGGGGCACCCCAGCAGGCACGCTCCCGAAACGCAGCTGCTCTGCCCCACCCCTTCCCTCTCCTGACTAGTTCACTGGCTGTGACTGACAACAGTGGGATTCAATGGCTCCCATTGCTGCCTCGGCCAATCAGGAGTGAGAGTCCCTGGAGAACCGAGGCTCTCATGGACATCGCTGGATCAGGATGGGGCTCAGATAAGTGTTGGAGGGGGGGGGGACTGGAGAGGCCTGCTACACACTGAAGGTTTTTTTACCTTCATACATACAATGCATGAAGGTAAAAAACCTTGAGCCTTTAGAACCACTTTAATGAGTGAACCCAGTTTTACAACTTTGGCTTGTGTAAGTTAAAACTGAACATATCTTTGCAACTATTTGGCATGTTCAGGTGAATACCTTGTTTTCAGGACAATTTGGGCCTTCATTTGGTAATGGATATCTCCTGAGATCACATTTTTTTCTTTTTAAATCAAGAAAAACTGTCCCACAACTATAAAAAAAAAAAAACTTTTTTTTTTCTTTGTAAACTAAAGCTTTATATTTTTATACCATTACCTCCCACCAAACCCCAAAATAAAATTCAAAATAACTTCCTCTCTGGTGTTACTGGGAGCCAGCTGTCATGTCTTGCCCCCCCCGATGATGTACCACCATGTCTGCTCCCCTCTACCTGCTCTGTTGAAGCTGATGCACTCTGGGATATGTGATGTGCAAATGTCAGGAGGCTTCAGGAGAGCAGGAGACATAATTCTCACCTATGCAAGAAAGGAGGCAGAGAGTGAAGCAAGGCCTCATTCAAAAGGTTAAAAAGTGAATTTACATCCAATTTTTACTTACGGATCTGAACACAGCTGTATTGTTTTCAATGGAGACACTCAAACATGCACTGCATTCAGATCCATAACCAAAAATCTATGTATGAGGACATGTGTATGTATTTTATTACAGGTAATTATATAGCTCTGTCTATTTATGCAGTGCTTTACATATTTAATATACAGTATGTCACAGCAGTGAATACACCCCTCACATTTTGTAAATATTTTATGATATCTTTTCATATGACAACACTGAAGAAATGACGCTTTGCTACAATGTAAAGTAGTGAGTGTACAGCTTGTATAACAGTGTAAATTTGCTGCCCCCTCAAAATAACTCAACACACAGCCTATTAATGTCTAAACCGCTGGGAACAAAAGTGAGTACACCCCTACGTGACAGTGTCCAAACTGGGCCCAATTAGCCATTTTCCCTCCCCAGTGTCATGTGACTCGTTAGTGTTACAGGGTCTCAGGTGTGAATGGGGACCGGGTGTGGTAAATTTGGTGTTATCACTCTCACTCTCTCATACTGGTCACTGGAAGTTCAACATAGCACCTCATGGCAAAGAACTCTCTGAGGATCTGAAAAAAGAAAAAAAAAAAATTGTTGCTCTACATAAAGATGGCCTAGGCCAGTGGTGGGCAACCTTTTTTTTCAACTGAGCCAAATCTCGCCAAAACCACGATTGAAATTTATTTTGAGAGCCACATTTTTAAAACTGAAAATACATCTCCCATATAGTAATTCATCCCCCATAGTATTTCATCCCCCATATAGCAATTCATCCCCCATATAGCAATTCATCCCCCATATAGCAATTCATCCCCCATATAGCAATTCATCCCCCATATAGCAATTCATCCCCCATATAGCAATTCATCCCCCATATAGTAATTCATCCCCCATATAGTAATTCATCCCCCATATAGTAATTCATCCCCCATATAGTAAGTCCCCCCCCATATAGTAAGTCCCCCCCCATATAGCAAGTCCCCCCCCATATAGCAAGTCCCCCCCCATATAGTAAGTCCCCCCTGTGTCAATTCACTTACCTTTGCTCCGCGCGTTCCTCTCGTCGTGCTTCCCGCGCCGTTCTGGTCTTCAGGGCGGACTGTGAGAGGAGAGGAGTTCGTCACGCTGCCCCGCCTACATCCTGGCTGCCCCGCCTACATCCTGACAGCTGCAGAGTCCTGACTTTTGGGGCGGCCCGCCCGAGAGGAGGGAGGGGGGAGCGGGCGGCCGCCCGAGAGGAGGGAGGGGAGCGGGCGGCCGTCCGAGAGGAGGGAGGGGAGGGGAGGTGAGGGGGCGGCCGCCCGGCACACGCCCGTCCGAGAGGAGGGAGGTGAGGGAGAGGAGGGGGGGAGGGAGGGGAGCGGGCGCCCGGCACACAGAAGAGCCGCATTTAAGCTTGTAAAGAGCCGCATGTGGCTCGCGAGCCGCGGCTTGCCGACCACTGGCCTAGGCTATAAGATTACCAGGACCCTGAAACTGAGCTGCAGCACGGTGGCCAAGACCATACAGCGGCTTAACAGGACAGGTTCCAGAACAGGCCTCACCATGGTCGACCAAAGAAGTTGAGTGCAAGTGCTCAGCGTCATATCCAGAAGTAGCAAAATGTACTTTCTTCACTGTTGTCACATGAAAAAGATATAATAAAATATTTACAAAAATGTGAGGGGTGGACTCACTTCTGTGACATACTGTATATTCACATCAATCCCTGCCCACAAGCAGCTTACAATCCAAGGTCCCTTTCACACGATCATTCCACCATTCTCCTCTATAGAGCGACGGGTGTACAACGACTTGTGCCAGCTTACACCCACCTACCTCCAATCTGATCCTCCAGGGAAAAAAAAAAAAAACAAACAGAAGGGGATCCATTCCCCTCAGTCAAAGTGGATCAGATAGGAGGGCAGTCGGGTGTATCTGGAGAATGGAGTTCATTTACACCTGAGCTCACATATAGCAGTTTGCTCTGTTGCGTCCACTTTGCATAAACAGAGGACATGGAGCTGTCTTCAGCCTGCTCTGTTCCGATCAGAGAACAGATCCCCTCCTGATATAAACAGCGCCCACCCCCTGTGAAAGGTCCCTAACTCACATTCATAAATACACACAATGGGGCCAATTTAGACAGGAGCCGAATAACCTACCAACAAGCGTTGGAGTGTGTATACACATATACCATCGAGAAGAAGAACATGACACTTTTATGGTTTTAAGGATCATTTATGGAACTTTAGATCCTTGGACAATGATCAGTAAAATTTTTACATTCATATGAATGCAGCTTAGGCACCGGTCACAACGCTGTGATTGAAAATGGCAAGATTTGTGTGCAATTTCAGAAGACTTTGCTACTTGTGAAGATTTTCAACGATTTCTTGCAATTTGCAGTGCAATTTCCATTGTATTCTATGTATGTGAAATCGCAACAACTGCAGAAAAATTAATGCAAGAACTGCTTTAGAAATCGCGCTGCAGCAAATCACAGATGTTAACCACTTGTCGTCCGCCTACTGTTTTTAAACGGCAGGACGGTGGCAGTTCAGGGACAGGTTGCCGTTCATAAACGGCACCCGCTATTTCTAGCTGTGCGCGCTCCCTGGGAGCACGCAGCACTGCGATTCGGTGCCCGCTGTGTCCTCCGGACACAGTGAAACACCGATTGTCGGATGGGACCTCTGTACGAGGTACCGATCATGTGATCGCTGATTGGCCAATCAGTGATCACATGCAAAGTAGTAAGCAAGATGTCACTTGTGACATCAT